TATCTGTATACATATAGTATACCTAATCTGTGCTATAAGTGTATCGACAGATTTACCAGGGACGTGCATATGGGTTATCACTAGAATATTTTCCTAAAAAAAAACATGTGCGTTACTGACTTTTTTTTCCTCTTGTTAGCATAATTATGTGTAGGCCGTTTAATGCAGATTAAACGTTGTATCTTGATATTTTTTCTATTTCGATCTGCTTGATGAGATAAATTCAATTTTATTAATCACAATTATTAATAAAATTATAACAAAAATAAAATTAATAAATTATTTATTTAATCTAATTTATTACTAAATTTTATTAAAATTTGAAACACTGATATACAGTGTTACTTACAGGAAATTCCCCCAAAAATTAATGAATGACATTTACGATAATTGCAAAAGACCAGTTTGTTTAAAGTTTTAACTTTTACCATCCTGTAACTTTAAAACTATGAATATTTGTACCCATGTTTATAAGAACTTTTTGTCATATTTTTTGATGAGGAATCAATCAGTACTTGTCTAATACTGTGGCCATAGAGAAAGTTAATAGTTTAGAGAGTGGTAAATTGCGTGGTAAAATGTTGGGAGATTGCGCTTTTGGCGCCCTCTGGTTGGCTACAGGAACGAACTATGAAAGAGCGGGAGATTTAAATTATTATTATACTTATTATTTTTAAGGCAATTAAAACTAAGAGTGCCCTTAACCAAAAACAGTGAAATAAATGGAGATACCTACTCAATTTTTATATTATCATGATATTAAAGGATATAAATACAGCATTTATAATCCTTTTACACCTTTTTAATCAAAGTCTTACACGCTAATATAAAATTTGACTATCTCCATTTATTTCACTATTTTTGGTTAACGGCACTCTTAATTTTAATTTTCCTTTTTTTATGGGAAAATGATTAAATGGGAAGAATTGAATGGGAATGGAAAGAGTGACCAATTATTGTATTTTGTATTAATTTATAATACCCCTATTCTACTAAATATCTAGCTACATTGTACTTACAGTTAAATAGCTACATTGTACTAGTTATATACATATTTACAGTTTTATGATGGCTATTATTTCTTTTCATTGTGCTATCTATTGATTCGATCCGACTTGAGTACTATACCTCGAGATGGCTCCAGGAATTATTTATCTTTACAGGCCTAGAATATGAAGATTCACAGTAGAATTTTTGGTTTTACTGCCTATTAGAAACAAACCTACCCCCCTACATCAAGGGGCATACAATTATGCCTTGTTCTCGGCCATGATATTCCTTCCATTCTATATCCAACATCCAACTTAGCACACCTTCTGGTTCACAACAGGGCCTAGACTGGTCGGATGATATTTTAACAGAATAGACCTTGATATCTCTTTCACACTTTCATTTAATAATTAAATAGGAGGGCTGGATGGTATAATTTCTAGAAAGAATAGCCTGTGAAATAAAAACTTCTGCATGGACATTACCTTTCTTACCTTTGTCTGCTATTTTTTAATAAAAAACAACTGTTTAGTTTGCACAAAAATAAAATTAACAATCAAAAATTTCTTAAAAAATGATCAAGCCTTGTACTACGCCGCGTGCCGCTTTTTGAACAAACAACAAACAAAAGAATGAGGTTAGCGGCGTTGCCAATGTCAATTTTCTAAACTACCCAAAAATCTAAATTAAATTCGCCAATTTGGGGAGAAAAATGTCCCGATTTACCAAAAATTCCCCATATGATTATTTTAACAAAAAAAATAATTTTAATATAAATACAATATTTATTATATATGTTAGAGAGATTAAACTGTAAATTACCTCCTTGTTTTTTAACCCCTTCCTTAGTAGTCATTAAATAATTTGAGGTCACTAAATTTTCTTTCAACTGAAGCATTTGCAAAGGGAAGCACAAGTAAAAAGCAGATTATAATTTTTAAGTTGGGAAAGATACATCGTCCCGCTCCGTTTTTAAAGCTAAAAATTTTACGCCATTTTCAATCAGCAATAAAATGTTGAAACTCCCCTTATTTTCGCCGCCTATTGCTAAAATCCCCACAAAATTCCCAATCGGCTCCGGATTCCCCAAAATTTGGGGAATTCCCCACAAATTGGCAACGCTGGAGGTTAGCGTGTTCTTTCTGAATAAGCTAAGGCTAACGGACTAGTGTCGAAACACAGATAGCTAGATGGACGTATTTCGGCACTTGCGTCGATGCGCTACAGGAACATTTGCCTGCGCGTCGTATGTCTTCTGGCAGTCTTTTAATTTTTCTGTTTGTCTATGACTGTGGCGAGATAATGACATAAAAACTTGAAGATTGCGGTTGAACTTGGATGGGGAAAATTAATAAAATTACGTTTATCTCATCAAGGAGACCGAAATCGACAAAATATCAAGAAACAACTTGTAATCGGCATTAAACGGTTTATACAATTATACAATTTGCAAACAAGCAAAGTCAGTGGCGTATATGTATGTATGTCTGTATGTATGTATACTTGGAAGAAAATTATAAAAAATCGAAAATAATTGAAGACTTTAACCCGCTGTGTCTACGAAACAAAAAAGAATCGGACCCTATGTTGATATAAAAAATTAATACCTATTAATTTTTCATGGTGAATCTCCTCAAGAGAGATGGACAGTGTTTTTTGAAACACCCTGTATATAAACCGTTCCTATCTAAAATGAAATTAATAAAAGCGCAAAGAACCGTAAAAACAGTGTGCAAAATATGGTATCAATTGGTATTACAGCGAAGAAAATAGCAAAATATGAAAACAACAAAACGAATAAAAAGAGATAAAACAGCTTTCCGGTTTTATTTCCTTGCAACACATTCGAAAATGTAGCTTTTATATAAGTTTTTTATAGCTCGGGTAAATACGGATTTTATTCCCAGTCTTGTTATAATCCGAACTAACTTGCAGTTGCCGGCTGTGCAGGATCGCGCTTCGGCGTGTTACACTTTCTAACAAAGTTGCCGAGTTAAACTTGCACAAATCCCGCGTTTCGCGTAATTTCGAACATTCAACTTTCCCAGATCTACATAAGTGAATTATGAAATGCCATCTTAGCTTTTTTCATCTCGTAGAGTATCCGGACGGAAAATATAGAAAATACACTGATTGAACGAATGAATAATAAAATTTAAGTCTCTCTCTTCAGTCCTTCACCCTACGTGAAAGTGTGGTGACATCATGTGTTGATTCCCCTCACTTCCTCGGACCAAGTTGTTTGACACTGCGCCATATGTGAGGCTTCGGAGAGGTTGTGGCCCAATAGGGTTTTGACTTGGTCTACCCACCTCGTAGGTGGCCTTCCACGTCATCGTTTTCTCTCTATCTTCTCCTCTACCATCAGTCTCTGAATTGAGGCGCCACTCCTGGCAATATGGTCAAAATATCGGAGGATTGACTGATTCAATTTGGTAACCAGACGTGTCTCAATTTTTAGTTCGTCAATAATAGAAACGTTGTCCGTGTGATTACTGAAGTCTTCCATATCTTAGCCAGCTTGGTTGTTGCATTCCTCGCCATTGCCACTCTACGCCTGATTTCAGCTTCGCATCCTCCAGAGTTTGCTATCAAGGAACCTAAATAGTTGAAATGAAACTTTAAATGTAATTAGTGCAAAAAGTCCAAAACCTTAACTTGTAACCAAACAACTGTAGTGTTGTCACTTTGAAATTTTAATGCCTAAAGCTCCGAAATATTCCCAAGCAGCATTTGGACGTCGGGACAACGTTGTGTCACGCGACCAAACGTCGGGGCGCAACGTCGGCACAACCTCGTGCCAACCCTAGTCTGCACTAGTTTGGAGAATAATTTTTGGGTCGAAACGACGTTGGATACCGACATTGGCTAGCAGCCTAATTTAGTACAAACTGCAACGTTGTTTAAAATCTTAATTCACAGAAATACAAAACTATAATAATATGGCGTCTAAGTCGCGTTTTATCCTAAATTGGGATAATTATAGTAAAAATATTATTTTTATGATTTAGTTAGAGACATATGCCAGATGGCAGTAAAGGAAAACAAAACAAAAGTATTTAAGTGTGAAGGATATTTGAAGATCATAATTATTGAAACACTTTAACCAACTCTGTAACTCGTGACCCAAGGCAAAAAAGTTAAACGCAAACAACTTTATTGATAAATGTATTGTTTCTACTTTGAAAAATACTAATGGGCCTTAAAAGTAAAGAAGTTTTGAAAAATTTCTTGAAATTTTTTTTAGTAAAATTAGAATAATTTATTCGCAGTCGAAAAAAAATTGTTTCCGCGTGTTGTTTAGGGTCAAATATTTCAAGTTAATGTAATCTAAAAGCAGGAATTGCTATTTTAGGAATGAAACATTTTCTTATTCAACAACATGGCGGCTTTCACTTTGTTGTTTTGGAGATTAAGATGGAGTAGTTCGAGTAGTCGCATACTGGACTAATAAAGTCGCAGTTCAGCCTTAACAGGTAGTATAGTAGTCGCAAGATTGCCTAATTTAGTCATCCTAGAGTCTAGCTTGTGCTATATTCTAAATAAACGAGGGAGTGGATAAACTATCGGTAATATGTCGATGTATACTTAAATTTAGTTTTATATGTGCCTTGGAATTAGTAAAACAGTCGACGTTTGCATAACGTTGGAATAGGTCCTGAAAGTGACGTCGGAAAACTCTTTACTGCCCAACGTTGTAACTACGTTGTCCGAATTACCTAAAGATCACTTAAGCAAAAAAGGTTACAAGACAACGTTTATTCGACGTCGCAGAAGCTTTTACTTTGTTGTAGTACTAGTTCAACGTCGGCACAATGTTACAACAACGTTTACATTTATTTTAATACCCAAGGTAAGCAACTAACTATTTTTTGTAACTAATCCAACGTTGTGTTTAGTAAATATGTGGTCGCAAGTCGTGAAAATGCTACTTGGGTTATTTTTCAGTTAATAAATTTTAATTTCGAGTTATCTGTATATAGATAATTGATTCATATAATTATTTTCAGTAAAACCGATTGCTAATGGATATGCTAACGGATGTGCTACTATAATACCCAACGGAAAATGTGTTTCTGCAACGCCTAACGTCAGTAACTCAACTTTACACTCTTCGAAAAGTTGCAGTTACAGCAGCTGCGCCGACCAGAAGAACTATCGACTACAGGAGACATCTAGGAAAAAGAAATACGATAATGATCATACTGTACTAGCAGGTATGTAACAAACTATCATTATTAATTTTTTGGGTTATATTCTTATGCATAAGCATTAATATATTTTAAATTAGATTATATTTTTGGGATGGCTATGGGCCTGTCACACTGCGACTTATTCAGGTCAATTGAGGTTCTTTTCTGATCTCTAGGTTACATTCTCCAGTGGCATCCTTTTCGAAAAGCAACAAAGTAGACTCAACCCTCCATATAGCTCTTTGTCAATGGCTTATCATTACCTAATACAAAGAACCGTATATTTGCCAGGCTGTCGTGTTGACATAAAATATGTTGTGTTCTTTGTTCAATTCAAATTAGGTTGACAATGAAAGCCAAAGACTGGGTTTCACATCCTTAATGAGTTTGCGTCCTCCGTTTCTTTTTTAAAGTAAAGCCTGTCATTTTTGACATATGACACAAACATATGTTTTTTTAAATGGAAATCATAGTTGGTCATGACATCATAAAAAGCGCTATTTTTTAAGCTTTTCAGCGATATAAGGTATATGTTTTTTTTCGAAAAATTACCAAGTTGCAGCTAATTCTTATAATTTTAAAACAATTTCACTTAGTTAGCCATGGAAACAAATTCAATCGTCGTTGCCTTCAGAAATGCAAACTGTCACATCCGAACATTGTAAATTAAAATAAACAAAAATTGTAAATACGATTTTTTTTAATGAAGAAAAGCGTGTAGTATTATTAGTTCGAATTTTCTTGCCCATACATTTTCGAGGATACTTTGACCGGTGAACATTTTTTAGAGAACGGTTGTCAAGAAAAATTAAATTTAGACAGTCTCGCATCATTATGACACCTCCCCCCATAATGAAATAAATGTTAAAAATTATTTATAATAATAATAATAATAATAAAGGACTTTATTCAGTAGAAAAAAAGAAATACATAAGTAATAAAAAAAATCGATAACATTTTCCAACAATTGCCGTTCGACAGCAGGCGAAGTCTAGCAGAGATGCTATTCCACTTAACCTGCAGGTCGACAACAACTGTCAGATTTGGCAGGACACAATTACATAAAAATAATTCTTATTAAAACTAAAGCACACTCTTAAATAATATAAAACATAACGACAGTTAGAGGGAAAAAAAATTTAACGTTACACAATATGCCAGATTAAAAGCTGAAAAAAAAAATGACCCTCTTTGCCTAGTGGCTGCCTATGTGATAATTATGCAAACTCAGGAATCGGAAGAGGTAGACCAATTGCATGGGCCTCCTCGATGAATTAAGAGAGGCAGTACGGGAGAATATTTTCTAAAATAAATTAGAATGTATGGGGTAGTGATATTATTTTTTTAAATTTTAGTTTGCGTAATGTAAATTCTAAAGAACTGTTTAATATATTCTGTCTCTTTATAAGTTATAAATCATAACAATAAGAATACCATACCAACTAAGTGAAATTAGTCAACAAAGATAAGAATTGGCTATAACTCAGTAATTTTTCGAAAGAAATATATTATACTTTATATCGCTGAAAAGCTTAAAAAATTGCGATTTTTATGAAGTCATGGCCAATTATGGTTTCCATTAAAAAAAAACATATGTTTGTGTCATATGTCAAAAATGACAGGCTTTAGAAAAAATCACAAAACACAAACTCATTAGGAATGCGATTATCTACCTACAACTTTTATCTGCAAACTTTTTGTCTAAAATAGATTATAATGGAATTAAGTTTTAAAAATGCCAAAATTTGTTTTTTTAAATATCTAGTAAGCTATGAACTTTTTCAAAAATCCGAAGGGCGCATATTTATGACCCCACATAACTGCAACTTTTAAAAAAATTATACTTGAACAATTAAATTCTACGTAACAAGGTGCTTTGGAAATGTTTTCACAAAAATACAAAATTTTCCATAGCAAAAAAGTTACAGCGATTTGTTAAAAATGCATATTTTTGAAAAACACCCCGTAACTCCGAAACGGTAACAGATATCGATATGCGGTTTTCACCATCATGTTTTTGACAAAAATTGAGCTCCAGACACCGATATTAGTTTTTGTCTATCTCCTATAGAAAAGGGTGTTTCCATTTAAAAGCGTCGAATTTGACCCACCCTGTACTGTTATGTTTTTAATGCATTAAGCTTTACAATCCTAATTTCAGGTGTGTGCGTGGACTGGGGCCACGGCTGGGGCTGGGCCAGCCAAGCCCCCGCTACTGTAGCCCCCCAAATCTCCTTCGCAGCGGACACAGCAATCAGTTCGGCGCTTTACTGTCCCTCCGCAGAGGACTACACCATTTCCGGCTACGAAGACGTCGACTGGAGCGCCTTTGGAGACTTTTGCTTCTAAAAGAATTGGTAAAATCGAAATTTACTAGGATAAAGGTTTATATACGTTTTATAAGGGATTATTACGATTGTCGACTGAGCTTATTACGCAGCCGCTATCAGACGCACAAAGATGTATTTAGAGGATTTGTCATTCGGTGACAAATGGTTTGATTATATTAGAAGAAATGTTATTTGTATATTTGGTTTTAAAATATTTTATGAATAACTAAGTTTCTCGTATTGTTTGCTACATATTGTACGAATCAAGAACACTAACCAGATTTCTAGCTTGTCATATTGAGTTTGAGACTCATCGTGACGCTCATTTTTTAACCTTTCCTTACTCGCGCCCCCTTTTAGTGCTGTGTAGTACTTGCGTGGGGTATTTTAATACCCCAATTAATTTTTGATGAGAAACATGAAAGAAATTTCGATGTCGTCCTATTGTCATGTCAATGATAAATCGCCACTTTTACACTAAAGCAAAAATTGAAATATTATAGATATTATTTTGTCGAGAAATTCCAAATATTATTGAAGTAATAGTAATATATTATTGAAATGAAAATATAATTATCAACAAAAATGTTTTTCTTCCGATATTACTTACTGATACAGACAGAAAAATAAAAAGCAAAGTAAATATTCTAATTTACTTTGACATCATTATTCTATTCCACAGTTAGGTATTGTTGGAGTTTAAAATTCCTAATTTCGAAGAATACGAGTTGAGTAAAAGCATCAAATTAGTTCGTTCGACAGGTAATCGAGTTTTAAAGTTTATTTTTCTCTGTAGTAATTGAAAAAGTCAATTTCAGTCATCAAACTGTTTGTTAAACAAATATAGAAAAATTTGTCAGATGTTTCAATGATTAAGGTGATATTTATTTTATATAAATATATTTTTAAAGTTTATTTAACTTCTTTAAAATATAAAATAACAGTCAGTTCGATCTGACTAATCTATATTTTATATTATTTTAATTTATTTGATTAAAGAAATTTTAAAGGCTTTTCTAAAAATGTTTATCAAATACACTAACCTTCGCGTCGCCTAAAAATTTTCATGTATTGATTATGTTTTTTTAAGCAATGTGTAGCTAAATTATTGAACTTTTTAGCTTCTTTTCAGAATAAAAATTAAAGTCCTACCTAGTTGTACAAAAATTCTACAACAAAATACAAAATGTTGTTACTTTTGCAATAGTTTGAGACACCCTGTTATAAAGTAAGGAATTTAAAAGAATGTAGAATGTAGAATGTTTAGGAGGGGAGTTAATCACCGCGACCTTATAGATCTCTATTGTGTGTTCCCATTTCTTGAGTTATAACTCATCATACACTCTCAGGGTTTTAACAAAAGCCAGTATCTGAGACGGCTCCACAAAGGCCAGCTCTCCATCCTCGACATCAGACGTACCAAAGTTCATGGCACGAATGGTCATCGTCTCGGCGCACTCAGTGATAAGGTGTTTCCCCATTCTCCCCACAGAATCTGCATTCGCCGTTGTTTCTCAGCTTCAGCCTACTGAGGTGTTCGTTGAGGAGACAGTGTCCTGTTAGAAACCCCGTTACAATCCGAAGATTATTATTAAATCAAGGAAAACCTTTGATTTTTCTCGGTCCTAAGTTCTGAGGACTTTTTCGAGTGTCTTAGACTGTTGGAGGACACCCATTCCAAGTTACGGATGGAGTCTTCCAGATTCTTCAGTTCCGCTTTCAGTTGGTTCCCTTTTGGAAAACAGGACGGTTCTGGTCCAGTTAGTGGAGTGTTCGCTCCTTTTCTAGCTAGATCATTTGCTTTTTCATTGCCTTCCATCTCTTGGTGAGCAGGCGCCCAAAGTGGGAGGACTTTATTTTCTTTGAATTTAAAAGCAATTTAAAAGGCAAGTAATCTTCAAGGTTCATCTCTTCTCGATATTTTTTTTGGTTCATCTGAATTACATACTAGCTTTATTTTTATTTATCCGCAAAATCACAGGTAAAACGCTGCTAGATATAGAACAAAGCGACAACATAAGGCAAACATGCAAGGTGGATAGCATTAATGAATGTGTATTTTGCAGTAGACGCGAATGTAATGAACATATAAGCCGAATGGACGAGGGAAGAATAGTAAGGTCAACTCGAGACAAATCACCACTGGGAAAAAGAAGTACGATGGTGTACGATGGTAAAGTTGGTGTGATAACCTTACCATCAACAACTTCAGCGTTAAAGGTATGCTTTTTCTTTTGGTCCTTACCAACACCCTTATGAAATAGAGTTTATTGTTTTTATTACTGATATTGTAAATTCATATTATTATTTCTTGATGACAGTCTTTGAATAAGAAGACTAAGGAAGGAGCATAATGCTATCCATGTATTCATGCATGGTGGGCGGAAAAAGCGCCATAAAAGCACTCTAGGGTGGGGATCCTTGACAGTTCTGTTTGACGATTCATTTGACACATTTGAATTTGATTTGAAATTTTGTGGATTTGTCAGTCTTTACAGAGCTTATTTTATGTTATTTATTATTTATTCTACTACTGATAGTTGTATAAAGGTAGTAAATCTAGATGGAAATTGTGACAGAACTTAAATTAACAGTGACACTATCGCGATTTATCGAAAAAGACTCTAAAATAGTTGGTTGTGTAGCGTGCGGTAAAATCTTGGCAAAAATTGAGTGATCTCGGCAAAAATTGAGTGAAATAATGGAACAACTTTTCGCTAGTAAGTGACTATATAATATACATACGTGTAGTAAACCGATCGTTTATGAAATTCACTTAAATTAACTAAATTATATAGTTTTCTTGCATTTTAACTTTTATTTATTACTTGTCAAAGATTAGATGTCAAAGAATTTAGATACGTTAATTTGACTTACCTGCTTCAGTAGCGTATCGGATGTTTGTGGTAATAAATACTTATTATAACTTATTTATTTTTATTAGAATTATATATTTTTATAACAATTTTAATAACTACCAACATTTATTCACAACGTAAAATAAAACAACAAATTATTGAGTCTACCCCACGTCTACCCTACATCATAGTTTTACATTTTTTAAATAAAATTAGACCGACACTGATAAACCGGAATTTAAGTCGGCCATATTTGAGGCCCATCGCGGTGTACCTAAGATTTTTGATATGCTCCTTCCTTAGTCTTCTTATTCAAAGATGACAGTAACTCCAGGAGACTTAAAACCATCTCTCCTAGAGCAACTGCCAACAAACAATAATAATATAATTTTTCCATGACAATGACATTAGAAAAACCATGAACTTTATTCCACAAGCGTTCTAGTGAGGACCAAAAGCAAATAGACATGCTTTTAATGCCAAAATTAATGTAAATCACTAGTCATCTTTAAAAGCAAATATCTCCAATAAGAATAAAGCTATTGGGATGAACCAAAAACAAAATTATCGAGAAAAAATACTCCTTGTCTTTAAATTCCTTACTGTGTTAAAGCATTCTATATTGTGTTTCAAAGTTTCGCTAAAATACTAACATTTTGTTTTCCCTCGTATAATAGACAGATGGTGTTTTTAATTTTATAATTTTAAAATATCAAAATAAAAACACTAAATCACCACAATACACCAAAACACTTTTACTTTAACACTGGACGCGCGTTTCGCTAACCATGTTAGCATCATCAGCAGATGATTATAAACTCACTTAAAAATAATATTGGATTCGTTAACAAAATTAAAGATATAACATTGCATGAAGGTGAAATTTTGGACTCCTTTGATGTATCTTCGTTGTTTCCAAGTGTTCCAATTCCACATACTGAACGCAAATGGTCTCGAGAACAAAACTGTGATTGAATATATTGAGCTTACATCGTTATGTATGAAACAAAATTGTTTTCAATTTAATAACAACTTTTTTGAACGGCGGGAAGGTACAGCAATGGGTAATTCATTGTCTCCATTTTTGCCTAATTTATTCATGAGCAGGTTTGAAGTGGAGGCTAAGAATCAGTTTGAGTATTTTCCAAGAGTATGGTTTAGGTATGTGGATGATGTTTTTGCTGTTTTTGACACACATTCAGACACCATAGATAATTTTATTTCTAAGTTAAATAATCGTTTTCCTTCCATTAAATTTACGCACGAAATTGAGAACATCGACAGATTACCATTTCTAGATGTATTAGTTATTAGAAATACTAATAGTTACCTGGAATTTGATATCTATAGGAAAAATACCACCACACGCAGATATATTCCTAATGAATCACATCATAGTGTTGAACATAAAATGGCTAGTTTAAATTTCTTAGTTCATAGATTACTTAGTTTCCCACTTTCCAACAAAAGATATGAAATAGAAAGAGATTACATTAGGAATGTAGCTGAGTGTAATGGATATTCTCCTTCATTAGTTGATAAATTAATTAGAAAACGTAGGTATATGATTTCTGAAAATTCGACTTTTCAAGTGGAGAAAGATACGTCTAAATTTTTTTCAATACCGTTTGATAGAGAGTTATCCCGTGGTCTAAAAGGAATTTTTAAGAATGTCAATTATAAACTTGTGTATAGTGCTAATAATAAATTACAACAATTACTAGGTATAATCCAAAGGATAAAACACCTCCACTGGAAAGGTCGGGTATTTATGAAATTTCTTGTAAAGATTGTATTCAGAAATATGTTGGGCACACTAGAAGATCAATATTAACTAGATTTAAAGAACATTTAGCTCGGATAAGATATGGTAGACCGAATAAATCTTGCGTTGCCGCATCATAGTGTTGATAAAGAACATTGTATAGATCTTAATAATTTAAAATTAATTAAACAAGTCTCAAATTACAGGCAATTAGATGCATATGAAAGCATCAGAATTAATAAATGTAAAGAGTTTATAATCATCTGCTGATGATGCTAACATGGTTAGCGAAACGCGCGTCCAGTGTAAAAGTAAAAGTGTTTTGGTGTATTGTGGTGATTTAGTGTTTTTATTTTGCTGTGTAACACCAAAGGTTCCAACCCTCAACTGTAATTT